GGGTCAGCTGGATGTCTGATCCCCAATCTCATGTGACTTGTCCCTCCTTTCAATATCCAGGGGTACTCTGTGCTTCTCTGAGTTAGTGTCCTTATGTGATGGAGCTCCTAAACTCAATTGTATGGTTATTATTTGGCTTTTTGTCATAGTCTCCAAGTGAGATCATAACCTCCTTGGAAGCCAAGACAAATCTTATTTAATCTGTTTTCCTTATGACAACCTCAGTATTGTATATCCTGTGCTAGTTAATGGAATTGCTCAGTTTTGCTCTACTATAATTTATATGAATCTGATTACATTTCAAGAATGAATTAGATATTCTTGGCTATAGAGTAGTACCTTCTGAATCCATATTCAATGTGATAACCTTTCATTTTGGAAAGATTAACAAGTTATGACATGCAGAAATCATCACAACCAAGATTTTAAAGTTTTTCTTACTTGCTCATCAATTTAAATATTTGCTTTTCCCTCCCAGACACACCAACATATTTATTAAGCTTTACTTTTATAAGTTAACATACAACAACATCTATTTTAAATTTATGTATAGTTTTATGAATTTTTATACAGGTATAGATTCATTTAACCATCACTACCATCAAAATACAGAACAATTCCATCATCTCAAAAAACTCCCTCATACTATGTGCTAGTAGGTCCTTCCTCTGCTCTGCCCTGACCATGTGAAACCACCTGCCCCATCACTATGGTTTGGTCTTTTGGAAACTGTCAAATAAATGGCATAACACATTCTTGCAACCTTTTAAGACTGGCTTCTTTTACTTATCCAATAATTTGAGATTCATTAAAGTTGTTTGAGTATCAGTAGTTTTTTACTTTTTATTACTAAGTAGCATTCCATTGAAGGGATGTACCACAGATTATCCATTCACCCATGGAAGGGCATTTAGGTTGTTTCTATTTTTGATGATTTTATAAACAGAGCTACTATCAACATTTTATAAACAGAGCTACTATCAACATACTCATGTTTTTGTGTAAATATAAGTTTTCGTTTTTCTAGAGTAAACACCCAGAAGTGATATTTCTGGGTTATACAGAAAATGTGTGTTTAACATCATAAAAAAACTTTCAAACCAGCTTTACCATTCTGCTTTCCCACCAGTAGAGTATGAGAGTTTCTCATTGCTTTGTGTGTTAACCAGCACTTGGCAGTGTTAGTATTTTTTTTATTTTAGCCAATCTAATAGGTGAATTGTGATATCTCATTATTATATAAGTTTTTATAACTTTTATAAATGGGGAGGAGGGTTATCTAGCAGAATATATGGCCCCATAGCTACATTTCATTTATCTTATTTTCTGATACCCAAAGTGTATTGAATAATAGAGGTCTTACAAAATATTGCAAGGTCATGCTCAGAACTATACTATAGTTTTCTCAAACTATATTTAAAATTCAAATGATGGTGTATAGAAGAGCAAGTGGGCACTCCATCTTCACTAAGCAGAAATCACAAATGGCCATAACAGAAAACACAGTTAGTCCCAGCACAGGGGAAAGGCAAATGGTACAGACAGTGGAAGAGGTAAGTCACCCTTCTGTGCTATTACCTCAGTGCTGGATTCTTCTTCACAGGCCCTTGCTCTCTGCACTCCAGCCATGCTTAGCCAAATTCATTTCCACATGAGGGTTTTAGCACAATTTGTCCCCTTTGCCTAAAATGCTCTTTTCTAATATCTTAGCAAGATTGGTTCCTTGTTATTCAGATTTCTACTTAAGTTTCATCTCATTGATGGCGTAAATGACCACCCATCCCAATGCAGGTCCACAAATCACCCTCTATTTGTTGTCAGAGTACTTATTACTGCCTGACATTATTTTATTTATTAATGATCTGTCTCTCCCTATCAACTCAGTAGTTCCAGTGGCTAGAACACTGATTTTCAACTATTTTAATTTCACAGCACACAAAAACTAATTATGAAAATTCTGAGGCACACAAAAATACATTTTTTGCTGATCTGATAAAAATTAGTTATAATTTTGATTCATTCACAATGGATGGCTATTGTGGTATTGGCTGTTGTCATTTTATTTGATAGTTGAAGGGGAAAGAGAGAGGTCAGTCATGTAGTGCATGTTTTAAAGATTCTCACGGCACACCAGTTGAAAGTCATTGGCCTAGAACAATGCTTTAGACTCAGTGAATGTATGTCAAATGAATGAATAACTGAATGGATACACATGCTTGTAAGAAACTTACTTTTTGCAGAAACTTCTGGGCGGATGTACTATTCATGGTACTTTAAACCTACACACTGACTGTAACTTAGTCTTCATTTCTCTGAGCATTGATGAGAAAGGTAAAAACATCCTTGAAATGGAATCACCATTTAAAGTTGTAAGCACTTTCTCATGATGTGGATATTCAAACGGTTCTTTGGTACAGACCAATCAGTTGTTCTGGGAAAAGCATCGGAGTAGGCCTTTCGTTTATAGAACAAAGACCCTGCTCATAAATACAGATGTCTGAGATGATGTCACATCAAGAAAGCAAACTGTCTTCTGAGAATACAAAAGGTTGTCTGTGTGGTGGGCAGACCATGCTTCCTTTGAAGAAATGTTTCTTTTCTAAGAATGAGCTCGGATGGTTCTGGGCCTGAACACTTGCTCTGGTTCTCATGGAGTGGTGTTTTATATGAAGGGAGATGTGCAGAAAATCTGTTGATGGGACCTTGAAAATGCAAGATGTACATATTTGATTTCACTTCATGCGAAAGAAAACTGGCCTGGCTTGAGGACACATAATTGGGACTCTACCACTATAACCCAAATCATGGTGCTATTAAATCCTGAGCAACCCAGGATTTGAAAAAGGTTAAATTAGGTAGATAGATGATAGATAGATAGATAGATAGATAGATAGATAGATAGATAGATAGATAATAGAACAAATGGAGGGAGGAATGAAGGGAGGGAGATAGGAAAAGGAAGGAAGGAAGGAAGGAAGGAAGGAAGGAAGGAAGGAAGGAAGGAAGGAAGGAAGGAAGGAAGGAAGGGAGGAAGGAAGGAAGGAAGGAGCCCTTAACTTCTGGAATGCAGAAAAAGAAAATGTAAGACCTCATACGCACACATCCATGTATACATACCTCTGTATGTACATTTCCTATAGTAATACTGACCAATTCTGCTCTGTTGCCATTGCCTTATAATCAACCCCACTGATGAGGTGATCCCTAGAAATAAGCCAATCTAGGCAATAAAAAGAGCATAGGGAAACTGAAATTTTAAATTGGTTGCAAAAGAAAAGCCTGAGAGCATAAGAGGCTTTGAAGGGCTTTGAAAAGATTACTGTGGTGCAAGGTGGAGCTCCTACTGGAGAAGGCAAGTGGTCATTCTACAGAAGCATTTAGAGCTCTTCCAGTCATTACGTTACGGTTTCCCCACTCAAATGAACCCAACTGTACAATGTGTTTTGATGCTGAGGCTGGGAGTCTGAAAACCTCATTTCTACTTTTGACAACCAGATCGATGATAGAAGGTGCTAGAAGGAGACTGGAAGACTAAAGCAGGGAGAAGGCACTTGCCCTTTCCTGTCTGTTTCATGTTTGTATGAACCTCACCCCAGTCCCACTTCCATTAGTATCAGCTAAACCCACTTTGCAATTTTTTCCCAAGATTTTGCAGAACCAGCTGCATTGTCCCAATCCCCACTCCCCAGAGTTAACAATTCCTTACAAATAAATGTCTCTGTTCTCACCAACAAATAGTTGGTGTGGTTTCTACCATGGGACAGGGCCCTGGCAGATACAGGTAGCTGGCTACATCAGCGCCACAGTGGACAGGGGAAGAGATAGCAAGAAAAATGGGGAAACATAGCTCTGTATCTGAAGTTTCTATAATAACTTAATTGTTCCATAATTAATTTGTTTTAATATATATTTTATTGTTTATGTAATTACAGTTGTCCCACTTTTCCTCCTTCACCCCCCTCCATCCACCCTGCCTTCACTTCCATAAACAGTCTCTTCATCATTGTCCATGTTCCTGGGTCCTTCATATATGTTCTTTGACTGATTCCTTCACCTTCTTTCAATCAGTCCCCACCTCCCCCCTCCACTCTTACAGCTCTCAGTCTGTTCCATGATGTGTTCTTTGAGATTATGAGGAGAGGAACTGTCTTCCCTGCAAGTAATTAGCAAAAAATGGGTCCGCAAAAGGTACAATTAATTGAAGAAATTTTAGTAGGCTTTATAAGACTTTAAAGGGTCTCAGGGACATTGTAATAATTTCTAATTAATTCTGCCATCTTGAAATATAAGATATATTCATAGGTGTTCAAAAATAAGCATATCTGGAAATCAACATCTTAAAATTTTTATGGCCCAGCTTACTGTGCTAAAATAACATGCAATATTGTCTAATAATTTTTTTGAATTTATTAATTTGTATTTAAAAGGAACTGTTGACAATGAGTTGCTGAAAATAATCTGAACAAGTAGGAATAAACAGTTAATAATACTGAAACACTACTAAAATAATTCCAGGACATATGGTTTATCTGCTATAACAATATCTCTTAGATGCTGCCATTGATGCAAAATCCAACTGCTTTTTACCTTTCTAAATACACAGTGGTATAATTAACAATATTCAATCACTTCTGTACTTTCCTGAACATATGAAAACTAAAATACCAATTAAAAACTGATATATCTTCTCTTTAAATGTTTCTTAGAGATACAGTTTCAGTATTTTCATTCAATAGTGATGTGGTTTAAGATATTTTTCATTCACAAGTCGAATAACAATCCACCCAAAGGGCACTGATAGTTTTGGGGCTCACAGTGCAAATAAAGAGTTGAAGAATGCAGCAACAGACATGTCTAAAATACAAAACAAATAAAATTCTCAGAAGATACATGCAATAAACTCTACTAAGCAGCTGGCCACAGAACTAGAACATTTGATAACTTTACTGGTGATTTCAATAGAATCCCAGACATTTCCAAACTCAACTTGAACCCTCATTTTAGGCTTTGTGTTTTGCTTTTCCAGTTTCACTAACACCACTAATGTGATTCAGATCCCTGAAGTACTCACTGTAGTCAAGGGCATATCCTACAACAGACTTGTCTGGAATTTCAAATCCAAAAAAGTCTGGTCTGTATCCAACACTGCGAGGGGTCATTTTTTCCAGCAAGCTTGCAACCTTGACCATCTTCAGATTGTGCTGCTGGACCAAGGAAAGCAAGGTTCGCATCCTTTTGCCTCGTTTTGCCTCGTTTTGCCTCGTTTTGCCAGAGGCAATTATAACTTCAATAATCAAGACTTTCTTTTCAGTTAAAATTGAGAGATCATCTCCACCAATTACTCTCATGTCCCTTGTTAATTGTCATTGTAGTAGCTCTTCAGTCTGATAAAATCTGCAGTCATAGGAATGGATCTATCACTATTTCTGTTCAGACCTTTGATGTAATCCAGCAGGTCAGCAAATAATTTATAGCTGGCCTTGAGCACGCAGAGGGCTACAATGTGATGGCCTCCCATCTCCTTCATCCCGTCTCCAGCAAGCCATTCAGTTCTGCCCATAATTAGTCCAGGAGAAATAAACACCTTTTCCAAACCCTCAGCGTAATAATTAGGTATACAGAATACATCTGGGCCATAACCTGGCTCATCATCACTACTCACGATGCTGGGGCTGTGAGTTGCCCTAAGGGAGCTAGCAAACCCACCAGCTGAAGGCAGTCTCTGCCTAGTGATTTTAATGCAGGATTTTGTGAAACACCCTTTAATCCCACTGACTTATATGAGGCACAAGTTATTTTGCCCAGTTGATAACAGGTTCATTTTCAAAGACTGTTTTCTCAGCGGAAATGAAACACACAGCTGTTGTTTGATTTAGGTACAGCTTAAACTGGCTTGGGAAAATAAAATCCATGAGTATTTGTTTACCTGGGTTATGAAAAAGCAGACTCACATCTCCAGTGTTATTAATAGAATATTTAGCTCCACAATACATTTGTGAAAATGGTAGTCTTCAAAGAATGCTACTTTTATTAAAGTTTTTAATTTAACTTAATTTAAAATTGCAGTGATGTCTTTTGATGTACTCATCAAGGCTATCAGTTCACAGAATCAGGACTTTGTCAAGTTAGCTGATGTTTTTCCTTGAAATATCTATTAAAAATTAGTCTATTAGATTCGGCCTCATTTCTGTGAAGTACCACATTATAGTACTTCAAGCCACGTCATTTTCTCTTATCAAGTGCCATATCCTATCAATTTCACGTCCTCAGTTCTTTCACATCCACACCCTTCTATCAGTTTCCCCTTGTTCTATCAGTTCCCCTGGTTGGCCTTTGTTACCTCTTATTTGGATTATGTCTGTAGCTTTCTAAACAGGGTGCCAGATCTAATGACTAAATATACAGGACACTGAAATAAATATGAAGTTTATATAAACTACAAGTACTTTTTTAGTATAAGTATGCCCTAAATATTTTCCGAATATTACATGGGACATACTTATAGTTTAAAAAATATTTATTGTCCTATCTGAAATTTATGTCAAACTGGGAGTCCTGTATTTCATTTGATGATCTAACTCATGTCTTTATTCTCTGATTGTTCCAACCCACTATGTATATATATATGTCTACATATATCTAAAAAAAATAGACTTCTGATTCTATCACACCATCACTACCACCTTTTCCCTCCTTTTGACTTTTCGGGCAGAAGGAAATTATTGATGATTTTCAAATACAGGCACTTTACCCTATCATTCCAGGCTATCACAGTATACTCTTAAAATGACATTGTGGGTGCTTCCAGCACTTGGCTACTGTAAATTATGCTGCTATGAACACCGGAGTGCATAGGTTCTTTTGAATTGGTGTTTCAGGATTCTTAGGGTATAATCCCATCAGTGGGATTGTTGGGTCAAAAGACAGTTCCATTTTTAGCTTTCTTAGGAAATTCCATCCTGTTTTCCACAGTGGCCGCACCATGGATAGAACTGTAGAGCATTATGTTAAGCAAAATAATCCAGGTGGTGAAAGACAAATACCATATGATCTCACCTAAAAGTGGAACCTAATCAACAAAACAAACAAGCAAGCAAAATACAACCAGAGACATTGAAATGAAGAACAAACTGACAGTAACCAGAGAGGAAGGGGGAAAAGGATAACAGGGGATAATAAGGGAAGGGCCATCAAGGAACATGTATAAAGGACACATGGACAAAGCCAAAGGGTGTGGGTTGGGGGGGAAGAGGTGGGGATGGGTGGGGCTAGGGGGCATGGTGGAGTGAAAATGGACACAACTGCACTTGAACAACAATAACAAAATAAGCCCTGGATGGTGTAGCTCAGTGGATTGAGCACAGGCCTGTGAAGTAAAGGGTCGCTGGTTTGAGTCCCAGTCAGAGCACATGCCTGGTTTGCAGGCCAGGTCCCAAGTAAGGGATACATGAGAGGCAACCACACATTGATGTTTCTCTCCCACTCTTTCTCCTGCCCATCTCTTCTCTCTAAAAATAAATAAATTAAATATTTTTAAAATAATAAAATAAATTTTAAAAAAGAAAAATAAAATGACATTAAGACATTTTAACTTAGTTGCTCTCAGTTGAATTTATACTATTCACTGACTCCATAATTCCATGTTTTTCTGTTTCCTGTTGTCAATCTAGTCCAAATTCTGGAATATAATTTCATCCTTAGTGATTAATATCAGAAACAAAGAATAACAATATCTATACAAAAAGAATTGGATAAATTTTGCTTTTTATTATAATTGTATAATTATATCAGGATTATCTTGAGACTTCAAGCAATAACAGAAAAGTGGATGAGATTTTTATTAATTGGAGCAAAATGTTGATCTGATTCTTATTACACATATGCTATATTGAGCCCAAAAGCTCCATCCTGGAAAAAATATATTATTCTATAGTAAATATAAGACATCTTGTGGAAACTAACTCACAATGCTAAATCCCTGACACATGAGAAATCAATTAGAGTTGTCTAAAATGGAAAAACTTAGAAACAAACTACCTGGCACCCTTAGGTTAGTGAAATGAAAGCACTCCCACCCATACCCGGGCTGCTCCAAAAATAAACTATGGTTATTTTTCTCCTTTTTCCTATCCTTAAGTCTTGATTTGTTCTTTCTATTTATATTGTAGAGACATTTTGAAATTCTGAGGGTTTGTCCTTTATTCCAAAACTTGGGTACTTAGCTCAAACTCATACTAAACACACATTTTAATTTTCCAAATGTGGTTAAAAATGAACAAATAAAGTAATCTTAAATACCCCCAGTAAATTTTATTGTAAGTTTACACACACACACACCCCAAGCCTTCAGGATCCCAGCTTTTATATTAAATTCCAATTGGGTACAGTATTAAGCAGGCAAATATCAACTTTATTTTTAATGGCTTTTTTTCAACACTAGTAACAATAGTGCCTGCATTTTGCTTCTTTCTCCTTAATGTCACCTTATGTGGAAACTTAATCAGAGAAAAGATATTGGCTTCTGAGAAATGCTATAAAGCAACTTACAGTACATGAGATCAGTGACTCAAGATGATGAGGTAGAGGCAACCTACTACTTGCTCTCCAGTTTTACCAGTTTACACATTTCCAATTATTCTACATAGATTTTTTTTCAACATTCTGCAACCTTCAAAAAACATTCTCCCCACTTTGAGAACATTTCAATTCTTTCCTATTAAGAATACCAAGATGCTAGTCATAATGGAATCACCAGCACTGTCAAGTGCCCTGGGAGAACGAAACGTGGGCGTGGCTAGGCGTTTGACCTCATACAATTGGGAAATGACTGGCTCTCACCAGGGTCATTCGGTCTTCATGATAATAAATAGATGAGCCAGCACCTTCCCCTCTTAGCACTGCTGAGTGGGCCTCCAGGAAATGAAATGTCTCCACCACCATCAAACCCCAAACCAATGAGAGGAGCAGCATTTCTGACCTTAATCACACCCCACACAGCTCTATGGAAACAAGACTGCTGGCTTGCACAGAAGCCAGAAATGACACTTCCTCTCCCAATTCAGCCTAGGGCTGAAAGACACCTTAAGAGGTTATTGGGTTCATACTTCTACCTAAAACTACATCTTATTTACAAAGTATTTTGGAGGCTCACAACCTTCGTTGAGGAAAGGGAATAAGCCCCACTGTATTCATCAAAATGTCTCCATCCCATAATAACAGCACAACCAGCAGCTGGCTCCCACCTGTCCCAAAGATCTGCCAGCTTCTCTTCACAAATCCCCCTTCAGGGACACCATGCTGGTAGCTTGAAATTAGCCATGGTGGGAGGATATACACCAGGAAAAGTTGTCAAATGTTGCAAGTGCACCTACTCTCCTCCCTCAGAGAGCCAGTTGTCAGGTATTTACCAGCCTCATACTGGGCTCAATTAATGCTTATTGTTAAAACTTATGGAGTTCTTGTTACATTCCAGGTATTTTTACACACATATCTCACCTTATCATCACAACATCGAAAGGTAGAAATAGTGGGCAATGTGAGTGTAAAGTAACTGTGATATCTGTCATCCTTTGAGTGCCAGTGTTCACTGTTGTTGACTTCAGTTTACTATACAAGTGAAGACACTGAGGGCTCCATGTCATTAAGTAACTTGTCCAAGCAAATTCAGTAAATGTGGAGCATATCCAAGACTTGAACTCAGACTGGCTGAAACGAAGGCCTCTGTGCTCTCTGTCACACACCACTGCCTGATCAGGGCAAACCCCAATGGACATTGAGCTTCACTCTGTAGAACTATTACATGAGGAGTAAGAAAGTTAAGCTCCCATCAGCTTCATTTTAGAAGTAGTCCTGCCTTGCCCTTAGACTCCAGGCAAACAGAGCCTCTACCCTGGCCCACCTACCCTGTACTCTGGAATGCCTTCCTTGAGTCCTCCTCCGTTGCCTGGGAACACCCAGGGTCATCAGTACCATCCAGGCAGAAGCCCAGACAGGGGCCTATTGGCCCTAGTTTCTATTTCTCCTACTGGGGATGTTCTACAACTTTCTAATTCTCTACATCACCCCTCTACCCACATGAAGAGTGGACCACATGGTCTTGGTCCAAAGAGCTCTGGGATCATACCCACGTAGCAGTCTCAGGTGCCAGGCCAGGCCTCATTCCAAGAGGGTGGCCTGGCAGGTGGATTTTCTCTCCTTTCTCATGGCTTCACACAGTATTGGACTGGCAGAATGGGGCTGACATGCTGATTTGGGGGTAAAGCTCACTTGTATCAAATACAGGATAAGTTCAGGATAAATGCAGCACCTAGGCCTAGGAGCAATCCCTATTATCTAAGCAGAATAATGCTTCCTCAGGATGTCCACTATCTGATCCTTAGAACCCTTAATTCTGTTATGTTACATGGCAGAAGAGACTTTGCAGATATAATTAACGGACAGACCTTAAATAGGGAGAGTAGCCTAGATTATCCAGGTGGGCCCGATCTAATCACATGAGCCCTTACAAGCAGAGAGCTTTCTCCCACTGGAAGCAGAAGAGAAATGGTGCAGAAGGGAAAATCAAAGAGATTCAAAGGATGAGAACTCAATCTGGTGTGCTGGCTTTGAAGATGGATAAAAGGGGCCATGAGCCGAGTAATGTGCGTGGCTTCTGGAAGCTGAGGATGACGCCTGGTCAGCAGCCAGCAAGGAAATGGGAATCTCATTCCTACAATTGCATGGAACT